TGCAGTACATAATACTATAGACTGCGAAGTTGGGACGAACCCTTTTTGGACAAACATCGGCCACAAAATGGGTGTAGGTCAACCACTATATGCAGTACATAATACATGCCAGTATCATGTCAACTGGCACTTGTCCAAACACTAAGTGGCTCTTAAAGAGTCTACACCATGTTGGACCTTTGCACTCACTTTGCACTCACACTCGCAGCCTTTTTCGATCCAACCCCCGTGTCGGTAGCAGTTGCCCTGTGCATGTAGACATGCAACTTGGCATCAAATTTGGATTCAGATCAGTCTTCGCGCGCGTTGATCTGCTGGATATACTTTTGCACCATCGGATGGTCACGTGGTCCAAAGTCCAAAACCCACCTAACAGAATCCAGGTTTTGGTTGAATCCAAGACTATGAACGTAGTATATAATGGTTCATAAACCAAATAAATAGATGGCTGATCAGTGTTTTGAGCCAAGAAACCTTTCACGTGCTGCTGCTGCAAACTCCCGTGGGTTTTGTTCATCTGCCATTTTGGCATGATGCCATGCTGCGGAGTATACCTTTGCAGATTTTACATGCGCGGATGGTGATGGGTGATTGGGTGAACATAGAGTTAAAAAGTATGCACACATATGCACACACTCGAAGGCAAACAAACTATATACGGTAAGGCACAGAGTGCATCTTCTTGTGAACCTCATCCACTTGTCGGTTTTTGGCTTTTGGTTGGGGTCCGGCCTGTTTCATTGGTCCAGCTTTCCGTTTGGCTGCGGCTTTGGTTGCTGCTGCTTTCTTTGGTGCTGCTTTTCCAGTTCGTCCTTTGGCCTTTGCCTTGGATCCTTTGGCTTTAGCCTTCACTTTGGGTGATGCCTTGGGTGATCCTTTGCCAACAGCCTTGGGCCTTTTGCTGGACTTAGGATGAGGTTTGGGAGTTGGTTTGGCCTTTGCCTCCATCAACCTTGGGCTGTGTGCATGGCCCTCCACTGTTGGGACAGCAAATTGGCCATGCGGGTTTGGTAACTTCCTTCCATGCTGGATCTCTGGCAATTCTCCGGTGGAGCTGACATCAGTCGGAGATCGTTCAGCTTCAGCGGACATGACCTATCACCAGAAAGAAAAAACAGGGGGCAGTTGGATAGCAATGGGAACCAAAATCTATGTGATATTATTTTCAGTGACTTGCCAGCAATGTGTGTGTGTGTGCGTGTGTGAAAACCAACCTCTTCCACATCGGTAGGGGCATGATCAGCACCAGAAGCGACACCCAAGGTCTCCTGCAGGCTTCCGGATTTATTTAGCCGTCACTTCACTGAGGTACATGGCGATTTGGCTGGCATTGTCCTGGTTGAAAAGCTCTCTTGGAAGGACAGGGCTGCCACATTCTCGCGTGTCCTTAAGGGATCAAAACATAAGGGTGAGTGGCAATAAACTACTCGTAGCGACTTAATCAGTTGCACCATCCGTGCGACAGAGAGGCTTCCTCAAGAGGAGATCTTCCCAATTGATTGTCCGGGCTTGGGTTTGGATGATGGCTTTTCGAGCTCAATGAGATTGCATCCTTGGGGGCTTTGGGAGTCCTCAGCTGGTGCTTTGATGTTGCATGTTGTCACAAAAAGTCGATGCACATGTGGCCTCAACAAGTTGATGCTATACAAGTATTTTCTGGTTCAAGAAACGGGGTGAGCATGCCTTCATGCCGGCGTCGATCCCAAATTTCCTTCTCGTCCATGTATTGAAGGAGCTCGGCGCAAGACCTATCAAAGCCACTGCCACCATGCTGGTGAGGCCTGTTTGCTTGCCATGTCAAACATGCAGCCTAGCAGCTGCTGAATCTGCTCGCAAGTCTCCCCAACACCATTCGCACAAGGAATAGGTTCGGGGAAAGGGCCAATATCATGACCATGATCTTTGGGCATCTCCTGCTTGAAAGAAAGGGAGTTTGCAACTCTGATGGAATATATACAAATATGTATATATATATATAAATATGCTTGAAACATATTATTGAATTGAACTATATTGAAGCATTGTGGCTCGGTCGGGTCCTCCAAAGTTGCATCTCCAGGCTCATCCCTGGACTCCCTCACAGCCTCATTTGAGGGGTCAAAGCCATTTGGAAGTTCTGTAAGGTCCATTTCCGACATCTGGTAGATGTTGTCAGTGTAGGGCCAGGCATCAGGGTCCACACTGTCATCCATTTGCGTGTCAGTCCCTGGGCAATCAGCGTGAGAGTTTGGAACATCCCCACCCAGCTGTGATTCCTTGGTTGGTGGGTTTTCCAAACCACCAAAATCCATGAACTTCTCGTCGAACTTGAAAGCATCATCAGGTAGAGGTGATTCCGGTCCAAAAAGATCAACCTCGTCAGGCTCTTCTGCAGGTCCCTCAACCTCGTACTGAAATGGTAGCTCCTGCATGGTTTTTGAGGTCACCAAAACACTATAAAGTGTATGCACCATGGTTTCTAACACTGTCTCTTACAGGTTTGCCCAACAAATATCAGACAATCTCCTTAGTATTCTTGGTTGAGCGGGTTGATGGCTTTTTCGAAGCAGCAGATCCACGGGTCTTTGTCGATGGCTTCTTCATTGCTGGACCCTGGTTGTTCAAGAGATCATGGATCCCGGACAGGTCATCATCATCCAACTCATCATCTTCATCATCATCATCACTACCAGGTAACGGTTTGTGGTCAGCATCCTTCTTTTGTTTTTTCTTTTCCTTGTTTTTGCCCTTTTTTTCTGTTTTGTCCTTTTTGGCTTTGTTCAATGATTCCTTCTTGGCTTCAGTCTCCGCATCCTGGCCCGATGAAGATTCCCCTGAAGACACCCGCGGTGGAAGCTTGCATTTAGCCCCTTCTGCTCCTCACGTTGATCCGCAATTAAGATAAACAATAATGTATACAAAAGAAGACAGGATCGCAAACTCAATTATAAGATAAATACAGCCACAGTACAGTTACATATATACATACATATATGATCATATATGAATGAATCTTCATGATATTATCACAATGTTTGTTTGTGAGGGCCCAAAAAATAAATAAGTCTTTGTAAAGCTGGTTGCCAAGTGGCCTTCAGACTTGGCAGGCGCTTTTGGCTTCGCTACCGTCGTAGAGGAGGCAGAACGCTGCGCAGCTCCAGGTGCTGGTCCAATGATGGACTCCAAATTGAAAGCCTCAGTGCATCCCCAAAGAGCGGCCCCCAATCAGATGTGGAAACTCTTCGATTCGAGAACATCAATGATGTGCCCTGCAAACTTTCTGACCAGAAGAACAGCCAGCCAGGAAGCTGGGGTTTGCAATTCAACATTTGGTGAGCATAGGACCACGGAGTCATCATCAGAATCCATGGCCGATTGTGCAGATCGCGCACGTTTCCCCATTCCGGACCCTCGAGTTCAACCCGTTCTTGAACCCCGGAACCAAAATCACTACCAAATTAGATTTGTGTTGACGCTTGTTTGCAGAATCTGTCAACTGGATGTTGTGGGAAGAACCAGCGCCCATTCCACTTCACACTGTTTTTTTGGCACACGACCCATTCAGTCTGGTCAAACTCGTTTCTGATCGGCTAAGAATTGCTCATTCTACTGTGACCCAAAGTCACAAGGCAGCACCACTGCAAATAAATTACAAGAGTAATTGACCACTACTTTTCTGTTTTGGATTTCAACTTGTTCAACATATTCGGCGCACCTTGTATCAAGAACTTACCACACAGCATGAGCAAGGGCCTTTGCATCCACCCACAGAACTCCATAAAACAACACCGATGGGTGGCTAGTTCTACTGCAACAAGATACAACTTCAGTGTCATTGTTGCGCAAGCAAAAAGGGAAAACAGTGGGTGATTTTGATGTCCAATTGGGCCCAACCCCCAAAACCAGGCGAGGGTATCCTCAAAGCAAGCGGATGGTGGTCTGCTGCAGGTCGAGGGTACCGGACAGGACCGCAATGGGCCGGATCGGAACGATGTTTGCACCTTCACTGACATCCAACCTGACGGGTAAATGATAGTTCCAACATCCCAGAAGAAAGGAAACAACATGTTAGCGCTCAAATACGTTTTTTTGAGTTTTGGTTCCTCTTGTACTTGGATTGTCATTGATTCCCAGCAACAGGAAACCGATTGCAAAGACTGTTTCAATGAGCTCATGGTGTAACATGATGTCCAAGTTTCCAGCTCCATTATCATGAATGAGAGGTTTTAATGTTTGCTGTAGAGAACACTGCAGTAACTCCGCGACCGTGTTTTGTATCCCCGCCTAACACGCCAAGCGAGTATGAGCTTTGAGCCCTGCTTGAACTTGCTGGTGTCAACCCTGCTCCCAAAATTCTTGGCTGTCAGCGCGTCCTTGCCCTCCTTTCCCTTCTTGCCCTTCTTTGGCTTTTTTGCTTTCTTGTCCTCAGGGTCCTTCGGGTCATCCAAGACGAAGACCAAAGGCTTGCTAGTCGGGGTAGGGCAGCGGTCTTCAGTGGTGATGGTATGATGGGAGATGCTGATATTGACCTCCGCAAGTCAGTGGCCACAGAACAGGCCACCACAATGTTACACAAACTAAGTTGAAAGTTCATAAATATGACAGTCTGATTACTGTACTTGATTAACAGTGTCTCACCTCACCAGCGTCCTCCAGTTCACGGATGATTTTCTTCAAGTGTATCGGTCGGTCAGCCATGTCTAGCTTTTGAAGCCGCTCGGGAAGGGTCTTCTTCTCAACCAAACAGATTGTGTCCAACTCTGCTGTGAACCGGAACCATCTTCCAGCGACATTGGACAGGACCTCCTGAGCCTCCTGGTGGCGTGGATTTTGCAGGGGGCCCTGGCTTTCAAGGGAATAGAATTAAATCCACAGCCAAAACTCCTGACCATCCCGCCACTCACCACTTCCGAAGGAAAACCTCAATGAGCAACAGGTGAGACTAGTCAGGCAATTCTATTGGCAGTTCCATTTAAACTGGTCCAAGGGACATCTCACGAAATGATAGAAACTGGTTGGGTGCCTTGGAGATGAGGTAGATCGATTCTCCAGAAGCAGGAGTCAGCATCTCTGCACAGTTGTTGATGCTGAAGCCCATCCTTCATTGACAATTATTGATCAGAAGTAATTCAAAAAAGTGAGACTAGTGAAACTATAATACAACATTCAATCAGTCTGTTTTGTCACGCCAAGACTCGGGTTCTCCAACGTTGAAATGTCTGCATCAGATACAGTGTCAGTGGGCTCAAGCTTGATTCGCTTCGGAGCACGCTCAAGGTCCTCCTCTGGGGCCTCATTCCTTTGTTCAACTGTGTGGGTCTCAGGAAGCAAAGTTAGTGCAATATAGTGCAATGAAAGGAGAAGCAACTTGTTAGGGCTATTCTGCAAAACAAGGGGCGCTGCATCAGGCTCCAGGTAATCGCTGTCACAATTGTGTTTTTTGTTGTGATCCTCGATCACCCCTAGAGCTTTGTCATGAGTGAGCTCGTGGTCCAGGAATTTTTGTGCTAGCGATTTCAAGATCCTCAAAGATTCACCCTTCATCACGCAAACGTTGTAAGCCTTGGGGACTTGTGATGCTTGACCCTTCTGAATCGCTTCAACCAGCCCGGTGAAGTCTGGGAAGCCACTCAATTTCAAGGATCCACCTCTGCAAGCATCATACACTTTGCTCCCAACTCGTTTTACCAAGTTCTCAGCCCCTTGATCAAGCATGATTGTTCCACAAAGAACCCGCTTGTCCGAAGAGATTTCCTCATCTCAATGTCTAGAAGTGGCAACTGAAAAGACTTCAAAAGCAACTTTAAGATGTCCGAATGGCAACTTTAAGTAAAGAATCTTCCAATGTGGCCAGTGCTGGCGCAGCGCAATATCCGTGAGCATCGATCAAGACCACAGTACTTGCTGTTGGTGGAGTGAACATTTTGAGTGTCCGCTTCACAAGATCAGTTCCTCCGGCTTCCTTAGGTTGGTTTATGGGTGGACTTGCAAATTTAGGGACCCCACCTGATCACTGAGCAAAATTCATGACAAGCCACTTGCTTCAGTTCTTGCACCGCGGTGAATGCTCTTCCAAGGTGTGGAAGTGCCACTGGGACCTCAACCGCGCTGGGGCTCAAGTTGAAGGTAAGGGGAATTGGTGGAATCGGTGGTGAGCGGAATTGGCGGATTCAAGAGGATTGAAAAGGATGCTACTTACTTGGTTTGAAAGACTGCTCAGCCAAGTTTCAGCGGGCTTGTACATATCCTGTCTGCCCATCATTTGGACTTGGTGGACGACACCCTGACGCCATCCTTTTGTGGTCCGACAGTAGTGTTTCTTGTCGTTGTAAATGATTGCCAGCCCACTCAGCACTCCGTCCCTTTTGCCATAGATAGTTTCCTTACAGCACACCCAAATTTCATGTAAAAGGGGCATAAAAACAGGGACGTGGTATTTGGTTGCAAAACTAAGGCTCAGGATCGAATACCCAGGTCAATGGACGCACTGCCAAGTTCCGCTCCTTGAGCCCGAGATTCTTCCTTAGATCAATGTGAGAAAAAACAGGAACATGTTGTAAGTTGGCCATCCTTTCTTTATCCCTTTAGATCAGGAGATCAGGTTCTGGTCACAGCAAACTCGTTTTGAGTTTTCCTTCGCAACGCAAAAGTAATCTGTTGGCAAGCAACCCCTGTGCAGGTAGTTGTGGTTGGTGAGGTGTAGATAATGATTCTTTCTAATATGGATGGTGTTTTCCCCTTTGTTTTTGGCTAGGTGTTTCCCTGAAGCGCACATCCTTTTACTTTCACATTGTACTATGATGCATCAGGTGCCCAACCCCCTTTACATGTGGCTTGTTTGAATTCCAGTTGACATATTACAGTGACCTGATGAGCCCAATACAAATTGTTGAACCAAGGCAGGGATCTCCAATTGGTACCGCACATCCCTTACATCAGAGTCAGCAGGACGCTCTTTGTCATTCTCATTCTCATCTGACCCATCATCACTTTCTTCTCCCTTCATAGGTGTGTCCTCATCTTTTACTTCACTCTTGGCAGCATCAGGCTCTGACTTGGCGCCGGGTGAGCCTTCCTTGGTCCTGCGGCCAGGTCACTCAGAGCATCTCTGGGACAAAATGAAGGGCGGGTGTAACAACTAGAAAGTTGGAACGTTATCGAGTGACATGAAGGACGGGTTGGAAGGAAGGTCCTTTTACCTGCCAGCTGCTCTGCTCGGTTGGCATGCACCACCAGTGCGATGCTGTTTCGTTTGTACTTGGTGAGAATGTTCGTGATGAGGCTTATGAAGAAGTCATCCTTCGCCGCTCCAACTATCCCTGCCGTTGGCAGGTTGATCCACAACACTACCAGGTGGTCTTCGCTGGAGCGGACCTCAGCAATGTCTCCCAACGTCTCCTCAACCCAAGATGCAACAGATGGTAGCAAAGTTGATGTCCCAGCACTTGCAAGACCAGTGAAGACCTTCAAGTTGTTTTGCATGAACTCCCTCACACACTGCCACGCTTTTTCGTGCTGTTCCTCCAGGGAAGTTTGTGATTGGATGTGGTTTGCAAACATTGCATTTGTGGAGACATGACACAAACATTGACAGCAAACCCAGTCCGCCAACTGACGAACAAGTTTGGCTCGTGACTTCGCTTCCGATTTTTCCTGCCTGCATTTTTGTGTGAGTGCAATGCTCCCCCAGGTTTTTGTGAAGAGCATACCAAGTTCATAACCAGAATAAAGTAAAAAACATAGAAGGTTGGCTGAAGTCAGATCAGGCTGCAAGATCTTCTGTTGCTCGAAAGTCACTTGGTCCTCCGAAAGCTGTTGCATAAATGCATTGAAGGCAGCTTCCATAGATCTGTTCAGGGCATTCTTTGTTTTGTCTTGACTAGAAGCGATGAAGGCCTCCACCGTTTGCCCCCGTACCTGGCAGGATACAGAAATAGACCGATGCCGCGCACTCTACACACACAACACACACACTCTCTCTCTCTCTTTGTGACTGAGGCCGGCTTTAGAACCAGAAGAACATTGACGTCATCTTTCAGAGGACTGACAGCATCCTACTGTTCACACGTGCTGAGAGGCCATGCCTCCAAAACAAAGTTAATCCGGCGCCAATCAAAGTCGGAACCCGCCCGCATGACTGCGCCCAGATCAGCATCCAAGCTCCTTGGATGCTAGTGTTTCACAAACCACGGGAGATTTTTTTTTGCACAGAAACATTAAAAACTCAATGAAACTTCTATGTCAAGATTTGTGGTGAACGTTTCAATGGTTTTCTGGAGAACCCATGAAGAAAAGCTACCTTTTGCACACTTCCAAGATTTTGCATCACTATGTTTTTCTCACCACACAATCCTGCCCCCCATCCAAAAACATAAGGGGACATCATTGGTTTTCTGGAGAACCAATGATAATTCAAACCTAGAAATCTCTAGCTAGAAATCATTGATTATTTTAGATTTGGCGCCGGCCAAGTCCGGGCCCAAATCTGTCACGGGGTTTCTGGAGAACCCATGACAACCCCCCCCGGGATTTGGCGCCAGCCAAGTCCGGCATCCAATTTGGCGCGAGCCAAATCTATACCCCCAAGTTTCATTGGGTTTTTTGGATTTGGCGCCAGCCAAGTCTAGGATCAAGAGTTTCACTGGGTGTTGGGTGAACAGATGAAATGCTCCAGGACTCCCTTTCATGAACAACTCCTTGCGCTTATTCACTGTATCGCTGGGGAACTCAGCGTGGAGTTTCGGTTCCAGCCAGAGCCACAGTGCGCAGACGTCAAACAAATTGAGATGCCCTTGCTCATCAAGTTGTTCTTTCTTCTGAACAGGGTTGGAGAACCAAGCAAAAGAAATCTGTGCAAGAGAAAGGCAATTTCAAATGTCCTTCTGTTTTGTGCTGCTGTCCACTGGAGCACGGCGCTGGAAGTCCTGCCGGCAGTTTTTTCTTCAGAGTTTTTTTTCCTGATGTTGATAGGAAATGGTCTGGATTCAAAGGCTCTTTTTCCAACCCTGCCTGGGTACAACGCTTGAAATACAGCAGACATAGCTCTTCCGACACCTGCAAAATTTCCTTGAAGACCGGAGGCTTGTTCTGGAACTGCTGGGAATCACAGCGGGAAGAACTCCCAGGTACATAGTGATCACCCTGAAGAATGTGCAGCGGGATACCTGTGAAGGCGAATTGAAAACACTTACATTTACATGTTGCGTTATCAGAACTTGAACCTTTAGCTGGCAAGGTGCCACTGGCTTCATGGCGATATTGATCGTGGCGGTGATGAAGAACGAGTGTCACTTCATCTGGGACCCTCAACCTGACAGACCCAAACCCTCGTGAAACAGGACACATACAGCACAACTGCAGAACAATTAAACGTGCCAAGTGGCAGGTTATATATCACCTTCTTCTTGTCCGTGTCCACTCGGTGAGATCGGACGGTGATCATCCGATTGTATTCTGCAATAACAGCTGCGAGTGCGTCCTTGAGCGGCTTGTTTCCAAAGCGCCCCTGGCGCTTTTCAATTTGAATTGCAGCTTTCATTGATGAGAAATAGTCCAGTGGTGAAGGTGCCTGTTTCTCCGCCGATGTGTGACCCACTTCTTAGTGTTGGCAGAACATGTCATGCAGGGTTGCAAAAGTGTTTATGTTGCTTTTCTAAGTAGTAGATTTGGCACAGGCGCCCACATCAAGCTGAGTGGCTCAACGAGTATAGGTAATGGTCCCGTGGGTTCTGGTGATGGGTATATGCGCAGCGAACCCGTGAGAAGCTCTCCAGCATCAAGCGCACTTCTGGCTCTTCTAGCTCTGTGGACCATTCCTTGCACGGCCACATGGATCAGCACATGCTCACAGTCATGAACAGGGAAAAGTTAACTATTTTCACCAGGTGTCCAGCTTGTTGATGAAGAGAAGGATGCTGACCATTATGATGACCTTTGTGAAGCCATCACAGAATCCGACAGAGAAGTCAGCCAGGCGCCGTGTGGAGTCACCATATGGGAATTTCACCTGGATAGTTTCATGCGGCTTGTAACCTAGCAAGAACTCCTTGAAGTGTAGTGCGCATTGCGCATTCTGCGGATAGACTGGCAGGGCCAAGAGTAAAACAACACAAACACTAGTCACTAGTGGCAAAATTAACAACCAAAGTGAAGTGAAACAACACGGCATTTGGACAACCCCCCACAGCCACACTTGGCGTCTTTTGACAGGTCGAAGCAATGCAACGGAAGCCAAAACTCAACTAGCGTGGACTGCGGGACCAAGGTGAGGATGGGTCTTGAGTCCGAGGATGAGGCATAGGGTTCCAAACAAAGCTTGTGGATTACCTCAGGTACTGCGATGGTCAAGGTTGACAACCAAGTGGCTGGCAGAAACATTGAAATCACACCTGCAACCAAGAACCTGCTTTGTGACCTCTCTTGGGAAGGAGTTGACATACTCCCCAAGATTCTGGTTTAAAATCACCTTGCATCAAATGCAACAAGCAAAGCAACTAAGTGCAACAACAACAACAACGACAACAACAACAATTAAGTTTGTGGCAGACTCAAAGAACGTCCATAGCTGCCCCAAAGGCTTTGCTGCATCAAACTTGTCCAACTCTTCCATGACCGAGAAGGGAGAAGTCTCTTTGCTAAATCCTTTCCCTTTTGAGACTGTTGATGCAAAAAACACACATGATCCAAATGCATGTATTTAGTTGTCCAAGCTTGCTCAAAACCTTCTGACCTTCTAGCAGGCAACGCATAGTTTCACTCTAGTCCCCTCTGTGGAATACCACCTGGAGATGCCTCGGCTTTGGAGGCAAAGGGCGGGCTCCCAGCTCAAAGTGGCCCACACGCCCTGCTGCGGTGGGACCTGCCCGGATAAATTCCAGCTGCTTGTATGGCTGCCGAGGACGATTCTCGTCCATCAGCTGCTGATAGTACCTTGCAGCGCGGCTAAGATGTGGAAAATCCTGCAAGAATTGGGATCGAAGCTTTCGTAGCTCATCCATTCTCTCACTGTCCAAACTCTGCGTCAGAGTCTTCGAGGCTGTGTTGATGGAATTCCAAAATCTCTCAGTTGATGGTAGCAGTGCCTCTGGATAGATCAGCAAAGGCAATTGGCTCAAATGACGGTCAGACATCTTTGCCTTCACCAGGGCATACACATCCCGTGACTGACCTGCAGTCCTCAATCTGCGAGGCACCCTGTCTTCCGTTTGCACACCAGCTGGAAGGACTGACAGGGGGAAAGAAGATGAGAGGAACCACATCAAAACAACAATGATGTAAACATCAACTTTTCACACAACAACATCGCACCTTCTCTGGCCATAAATGTAAAAGATTGGGGCACTTTCATTTCCTCATCAGCCTCATTCTTGGCTTTTCTTTCCTTGTATGCATTTTTCAGACCCACTGTCGAAGGCATAAGGTCAGTCCAATCTCTCACCTTAGGAACAATGCGCATGGAAACTTTATACAAATGTGGCAGCAAAAAGGCTTCAACCCAGTAGCTGTCTCAACCAGGTCCACGATGCATTCCATGCCAGAGCGGGCGAAGACTCGCGATAGCTTCTCTTGCAACACCCGTTGTACATCTCGAGCTGTTTGCAAATCAGGTTCTGTGGCCAAGCTTGCTCTCACCACTGATAGAGCTGCATCTGCAATCAGGGTGGAGCATCAGCAGTGAGCGAGCAAGGACACGGCATCAAACAAACATTCAGCCCCCTTTTCAAACACAGCCATGCCTACATCTTCATGTGTATGGCCAACTTCTAGGTGATTTTCAGAAATTGAAGTGAAGTATCCTGCTTGGCATAGTAGTGCAGACAGTCGTCCTGTTGCCTGGTTTCTGACCTCTTTGCACGCATTGTCTGCCTGCAGCCATAGCCTCAAAAAAGACCGCGTTAAATCTCTGAACATTGTTAAATCTCTGAACAACAACTTAGGAAGCAACTCGTGGGGGAAAGTCTTTCCATCCCGTCTCGCTTTGGCAAAGGCGAAGTCAATACTTCTCATTGCCTGAGAGAAGTTGGCAGCCAAGGAACTGAGTGCAACACAGTTGGTGCAGGAACACACCTTGGTCCTGCCAAGGCACCAATTCCAAAGTCCAATTAGCCCCACAGGGCATCCCCTCATCAGAGATAAATATGTAGGCGCCCCAGCCATGGACCAGGCTTGCTGTAAGCATAAGGCCTGTTCCTGATTTTGGGCATATCAATGCAATTACAACTCCGGCAAACTGCAAACTTGTTGAAAAAACCAGTGAACCAGTGCATGCAAATGTCTTCTGATGGACTCATAGGTTGTTCCCTTGGGCGTCCGCGAGTAAGGGTACTTAGGTAGGAGCAATTTCTGGCGGTCATACGAGTCGATGATCATGGTGATCAAGTCACCCTGGCCCCGTGACCTGGCTCTAGCCAGCCAGTACACTTCTCTATCCCGCCACGATGATGTGTAATGGCCCAAAAGGGCATCACACCATTTGGCGTGGTCGACAAAGTCCTTTGCCAAAACAAATGTAGTGTGAGGAAGCAAGGACAACGCACACACAAACAGGCAGCAGCAGTGATTGATTTGACAGCTGGGGCACTGATGCTTCACGAATTTTCATCTTTAGTCTGGCACATGTTGTGCAAATCGAGTGGACGGTTACCTTGTGAAATCTCATGCAGCACCGCCATTTTTTGGCTTCCCGATAGAAAGTTGCACGGCTGGCTGGCCGTTCTCCAAGAATGTTGGCGTACGCGAGGTACATGAGAAATAGGTTGCTGACACTTCCGTGAGGAAGTTCTTTCATTGGCAAGGTGCTAGGATCATTGCATAGCACCATTTGGCCAACTGGCCCCATTACCTTGAAGTCCACTAAGCGCTGGATCAAGTCTTCACGTAGCTTTGCATCACTTGTTTCCAACATTGATACTGGTGTTTTCCTCAATTCAGCGGCATGTGTGTATACACGTTTGTTTAAAACCAGTTCCAAATACATTCAGAACTTCAACCTGCCAAATCACGATGTTGTCATGGTCTCTCCAGCTGACCAGTATAGGTGCTGTAGGAAACTCTTGGCTGAGGCTGTCATCAAAGCACTGGAGCCTTGCAGGACCGCTGGGTGATCGACAATGTAAAACTCACCTCGTTGATCCTCATAGAAAGGATTGACTTTTTTAGGCTAGAGGCCAGGATTGTCTCGCAGGGACCGCATGTCTTTTCCTTGGTATGTTCTTTTACATCTCGTTGCGCGATGCTTTCCAATTCCGAGAAGCCGGAAGAAGGCTTCTCGGCACACTGAGAAGCCTGGCCAAGATTTAGTAAACAAAGGCATGGTCAGTTTCGTGCAAAGCTGTTCAGTGTATTTTACACTCATGTTGATGTTTTAGCACCTTGCCTCCAAGCTTCCACCTTTTGGATCTGGGCCCCCCGCTCTGTTTGAAGCGCCCACAACAGGCTGTCCTGGGCTGCCTTTCCCAGTGACCAGAAGGCCACGCAAATGGCATAGACGATGTTGAAGGGGGGCTTTGCACTTGCACGAACAGCTCGGTGATCTCAAGACCTGTTTGATTCGCCTCTTGGATTGGCCAGACTTTGCATACTTGGTGGCATGTCCATCATT